ACCCTACCCCACCCTACCCTACCCTACCCTACCCTACCCTACCCTACCCTACCCTACCCTACCCTACCCTACCCTACCCTACCCTACCCTACCCTACCCTACCCTACCCTACCCTACCCTACCCTACCCTACCCTACCCTACCCTACCCTACCCTACCCTACCCTACCCTACCCTTTGGTATTGAGTGAAGGTCTGGTCCGGCATCAATGCAACCACCAAGCTTCCGTACTACGAAAACATGACTCTCTGGGTAAGCCGCATACAGTTAGGAAGCGCACCAAAATGATATCATGCCTGGCCTCGTTTCTGGACAGAGAAAGCATCATGCAACGTTTAGTGCTGTCGTGCCCATCCTTAAGCTGACCTGGTCACGATCTCCATACTCAAAAGCCTGAGCCCTCGGCAAGCAGACCAACAGCCAATCATCATGGCTGGCGGGACCTCCAATTAATAAACAATGTCCTCCTTTCGTACGTCATATCGTTACCCTACTCCATACAGGACATGGTCACGCGTATCTTTGTTTCCGCCAAGACGGTGTTTCAAAACCACGCCGATTGGTCCAGACAGGGAAGCAACGTGTCCGCCACAGCAGCAGGGTCCTTCTTGCTCAATAGCGGCCAGGCACTCATACCGGGAATGAACAAGGTATGAACAATACTACTACAGCTCGTGCTTATCGTGCTTTCAAGAAAACCATTGGTTGGACTGTTGGGGGTTTCTGTGTGATGAATAATACGCTTTCCCTGGGTGTGAAACTGAATGGTTGAATGGCTGGTTAGCTGTGTGGTTGTCTTCTGGCTGGCTTGTGTGTTGTGCAAGAATGGCTGTCATCCTGTAGTAGCTGGCCGCTGAAAAGGCCTCCATAGATGCTAGCGGAGCGCCTTAGCGCGTGTTTATTAACGATATGCCTGCATGCCAGCAATCGGCCGTCTTGCTTCTGGGCGACTGGGATTTCGGCGGAGTTGTATCGCACTGGCTGGACCCCAGTGCGCGGTGACTAACATTACACATGCTCGCTGAACATTTATGGAGGCCGCTCCTGTTGTAAGTTTATTCCGCATCGTCAATTATGCTTATACCCATGCATGTATGTATGTATGTACGTCCAGATGGTGAACGTACTGCTGGACGTCGCCATATGGCGGACCAAGACTGTCAACATGCTGCAGCTGGCCTTCCTGATCTTGGAGGGCTTCCTGGTCACGTTTATTAGCGCGATGTAAGTGTAGACTTCCTCGAGGGACTTAACTTGAGGATTTAACTTGGCGGTCAACTTAGCTACGGTGTACCGGAAGTACGAATGTGCAAATCCGTCTTAACGGTCAAAACGGACGAGCCGACCACCTTTTTGCGCTCCCTTCCCTTGCCCTCGCCTGCCCTGGCTTTCTTTAAAGATTTTGTTCTAACTAACCTTAACTCACGAAGTCAAGTTTGTTTTTTACTTGGCATGGTCAGGGTTCGACCCATGTACTGCTTTCCTGAAGCATTTTTATTGCGCCCGGCAGGCTTGTCAGCATACTGCACTGCACCGGATTGCGCTTGGCACTTTTGGTGTTGTTTCTGTGTGTTGTATCACACGTCTTTTTCAGAAAAGAACCGATCGGTGGATGTCAGATCCCGTGATACCCAGGATACCACCCTGTGGCAACATACAGGCACAGCCTATAGCGTGCGAAGTGATGAAAGGGGAGGACGGTCGAATTTCCGTTCGTGCAATTCTTCCTCCAGAAGCACCCGCCCATTGCTATCGACTAACATTAACCACCACGGACCGGTAACCCGAGCAGCATCGCCTGCTGCTGCTGCTGGTAGATGGTTCTTAGGTCAACCCTTCGTTAGTGCAAAAATTTTTAAAATAATTTTACTTTAGAAAATTTTTTAACTTAAGAAACTAAAATACTTGTTAAGTTCTGGAAATCTTAAAATTTTTTAGGAATTCATAAAAACTTATTAGTTTCAGGAAAAAACTTTAAAGAGAATCGTAGATATAGATTAAAGGTAAAAGTAAAAAGTAAAAGTTAAAGGTTACATTTAAAGTAATGAGTTAGAAGGTCGTATTAGACGAAAATCTAAAAAGAAAATCTAAAGAAGAGAAGCTGGAAGGAGAGGTATGTGTTATAGAGTCTGTTTAGGGGCGATTAGCTAGGGTTGAGAAATTTGTATGTTTTGTGAGAGGTTTGGAAGGTTTATGCTGAGGGGATAAAAAAGTGACGAGTATAATTTATCGAAGGTATGTTGTGTGTGGAGGGCTTGGAAGTAGTTTTTGCGTATGGGTGAGATGTAAAAATCTAGAGGTGGAGTTTTGGCTGAGGTGAGGAGTGTTAAGAAAAAATAAGTGCCGGGAGGGGTTTGGTCTAAGCTGAGAGTTTTATAGGTGTAGTGCGAGGAAGGTAGTGAAAAAAGGAAATCTAGTTGTAGCGGGAAGAGAACTAGATGGGCTGCTAAGCGAGTGCAAGCTGACCTAAAGAAAGCCGCTGAAGCTATATTTAGCAAGGCACGTCACGACGCGTTTCGGCCTTGCCAGGGCCTCATCAGGTGACTCTTGCGCTAAGTTTAGGTGCTTTGCTATGCTAAGAGCCTCCTGAGATGTAGAAAACGTAAACTGACCGTAGTGGGCGAACTGTACCAGTGGTGAAGAAGTTTGGTGGTGGTAGTTGGTGTTCGCAGAGCGGTTTTAGTCCAATCGATGGTGGTTGTCAAGTGGTGAGCGAGGACGAGCCTGAATGAAAAACGTAATGATAGTGAGTTGTAAAGTCAATTGCAGTGGGTGTGGGAGCCTGGTTTGGAGGTTTATGAGCAGTTACGAGTTGGCATGGCGGGTATGTAAGATATGGGTACTCGACGAGCAATCACGGAGGTTTGAATTGAAAACTAGCTGTGTTGCGATGGATTATTTGCGAGGAAAAAGAAAGGCGGACGGCTGGGGAGGACTTACTGTTGGTGGGCGATGATGAGGTTCGAACGGTGGCGTTGTGCAAGATAGCACCGCGCGAAGATTGTAGGTCTTTGTGGATTATAGGGAATAAAGATAAGTTGTTGTAGATGAGGATACTGAAGAGTGGTGGTATTTGATGTGAAAGGTGTGGGCTATAGGTATGACGGCGTTCGGTGTTATAGGCGCGATGAGCGAGTTTGGGAATAA